AACAAAGTGCACTGCTATATGCCATTGTATAGGCCCTCATGAGTAAAAAAACTTTTGTATGGAGACCCAGTTCACAGCTCAACAGGTTCTGAGCTTCAGAGGCTTAAAGTAAATTATGACTGATTTTTTTACTTTTTGAAATTTTAAGTATAACTCCGCGTCTGTGTAAGACTAAATGCATTAACAAACATTATTTGGAAGCTTCAGCGTAACGGCTTTCTTATAATTATCTACATTAGTTATAATCTGTTCAGATTTCGGAATCACGTGACTTTATAGTTCGAAAAAGTTTAAAATTTAATTTTCTTTTAAAAAACGTAAATTTTTTTTGTTGATGTAACATGCGAGCTTTCTCCAATTTTAGGACAGGTGACAACTTTGACAACTGAGCTTCAATTAGGTGTATGAATTATCACACTATCTGATGAATGATGTGGTTTAGGAGCTATTGAGAAAAATAGAGTACAGTAATTGCTATTTTATACTAAATTTTTTTCTTCAATGACTTAGAAAAATGTGCAACAACCGTTCAAAGTGGTTTCTCTGTATTGTTTTACAAATGTTCGACTTAACAAAAGAATTTCCCTCACATTTGCGAAATTTAATGGCTTGGAGAATAACATATGAGTATACTCTTATGTTAGGTATTTTCGAATATATTAGATATGTTCATGGTGATTTGGAATGTTTGAAAAATAAAAAACGATTAAACACAAAAATTAAATACATTCATTTAAATATTAACAAAATTAAATTTTTTGTTCTTACAAACTAGTTACTAATTACAGGTACCAAATTACATTATAATAAATTACAGATAACAAAAAATTTTTAAGGTAAAACCAAAATAGCAAATATATAAAAATCAATTTACACTTGCTCAAGATGTTTCTATAGTACAGCAATTACAAACTTAATTCAAACTAGCTACTGTTTTAGAGAAATTAATTTCAATGATATCATTTCTTTGTCAAAGTCGCAGATAACTCCTCAATGAATTTGTCAAACTCGCAGATAACTCTTCAATGGATTAAGGTAGATGCCTATGAATTCCATACGCTCATTTGTGACAGAATAGCTCAATAAAATTCAGAATTTTTGAAACTCATTTATTTGGAGACATATTTCAGAAAAGTATAATTCAGCTGATTTAATAACCCGTGTAATGCTTTCAGGAATCTTGAAAGAATCGTCGTGGCATACGGCGTAACTTATTTGATTATAAATAATTAACGAAATTCGTCGGGACTATTTAAAATACAAAGACGTTGAGATATTTACAACAGATGAAATTATATTTTCCGAAATATAGTTCATTCGCGTAATATAAATGGTATATATTGCGCTGACGACTGTGAAGCCTTATCCTGCAAAAGGTCACTTGAGGCGAACGCTCATCAAAAGCACTCAGTCAAATGGGAGATCTACCGCAGTGATGCCGCTTACCACACCAGGCATTTAATGTTAGTGGGGTTATATTCTTTGACCCACTTATTTTTCGACATCACGTTTTATGAAAACGACAAAAAAAGTGTATATAGTATTGTTCATATGTTTTACAATTAAGACTGTTCAAATGCAGTTGGCTCCCCAACTATATTCCCAAAGCATTTATTAGGGCATTCAAAAGATTTATCGTTGATCACTAACGTGTATCATATATTTATTCATATAACGCAAAACGTTTTACTGTTGCATCCAATATATTGGCAGACGCGCAAAAAATCTAACAAAAATCTCAATCTAAAATAGCTACAATTTGTCGAAATAAAGGATTGAAATGGTTACTTATTCCTCCGCTTTGTCCCAACTTTGGAGGTATAGAGGATGCTTCAATAAATATTGTTAAAATATTAATGTTGTAAAAACTTTCATCATTTTCAAGAATTTTACAGAAAATGAATTAAGAACCATTATTCGACAGGCCCTCTCATATTCCCCAAATAACTTAGAAGCTCTTACACCAGATCACTTCGTTTATGGAGGTTAAACTAAAATTTTGCCTGTCGACAAAGCTGACAAAGTGAAAATTAATTTCAATCATTTAAGAAATTATTAAAGATATATTTGGGCTCAGCAACACAATTGGAAGTGATAAACTCCATGGAAGTAATTAACTGTAACTTATTTTTAAAATAAAGAAAATTAAAAACATTAGAGTGTAAACTCTACATTAGTTGATAACATGCTACGCTGTAACTTATTTTTAAAATAAAGAAAATTAAAAACATTAGAGTGTAAACTCTACATTAGCTGATTAGAGTTTACACTCTAATGTTTTTAATTTTCTTTATTTTAAAAATTAGTTACAGCGTAGCATTACTACATTAGCTGATTAGAGTTTACACTCTAATGTTTTTAATTTTCTTTATTTTAAAAATAAGTTACAGCGTAGCATGTTATAAATCTAACATTTCAACTTCTTGCTTTAGCTTAACTAAAAAGAAATAACGTCTTTGGAATCGCAAATCGCTTATATACAGGTCACATCAGATATCCTTCCGCTGATATGTATATTCACGACATAAATATGCAGTAAAAACAAATAATTTTTAAAAATAAACATAAATTATGTAAACTTTTTCTGCAAACATAAACGTTTCAAAATATTTGAAAATAAAGATAACACTAAATTAAAAAAGTTGATGTGATCAGCTAATAACCTGTCATGTTGTACATTTTCGAAATAATACGTAACTTTTAAACATAAATAAATTTTAATGAATCTGGTTTTTTAGGAAGTTTCACCTTGGGCACTACGATCTCTAGGCGCTTATCTTAAAGTTCTAGAAATTGAGCGATTTAAAAGCTTATATTATTTTCAAAAATGTAATTTTGATTCACAATGGAAGTTCACTTCCGTTTCCAGTCCTACTTTTCTGAAAGATTCGTTAGTTTGAGTTGAGTGCACAAGCAGGACTGGGATATTAAATTTTAAGAAATTCGGTTAATTAATTTCCTTTGTTGTATTTTAAAATGATATACCTCCAAAGGCTGTCATACATCCGTCATGAATGATGATCAAAGTAAAGTCAAATGCAAAATTTTGCCAAGATCGGCTCAGTCGAAATTAAAATACACGGGTACACAGACACACAGATAGACAGGCAGATGAAATCTGAACATTGTTGATCTATTCTTTCTGCTAATAGTGGCTTTGCTTAAATGTATATCTGTCATAACATTACAATAAAAATTTAACCACATCTTCGGACACTATTGTGCCTGCAGCACAAAAGTTTGTGAATGCGAATATAGTAACAGTGTCACTGCTTATTCAAGAAACATGGTTAGAATCCGATGTGTTTTTATGACAGTACTCACACAATTCGAGCAATTTAATCATATTTTGAAAACTAATGTGGCTCAAATTATGAAATTTTGCACAGGCGGGCAGCTGCCTATATAATACTTTCGTTATTCTTGAAAATATTAGTCGCAATCGCTTTAGTTTTTATATTGGGCCATTTAGCTTAAATAATAATTTAATTAGATCGCTATGAATATTCAAATATTCAAGTGCAATTTTACAAAAACTATATTTTATACACAAGACAACGTTTTCTTCTACTTGGTTGGAAAAGTGCTAAAAACAACGTATGGTTGCTATTTTGTCATATACAGTGACTTGTTTATGTTTTGCGTAAATTGATGAAGTAGCATAGTTTTGCAAATAACAAACATCGTTTAAAGCGAATTAATTAAATTTAATTAAAATTAAACTAGTTCTATAGAATATTAATATTTTACTGTCTTTATACAAAAAAAACCTTAGTAGATAAGCCAATCGGTAACGCGGATTACGAAAATTAAATAAAACGTCTGACTTATAATGAAGGGACAAAATTTTCTAAACAGAGTGCTGGACAAAAACCGGATCTGGTATAATTAACTCCTTTTCCATAAAACGTTTGTCGGTTTGTGAAAATTCATGCGAAGACTGAACTTTGCGCAAATCATGCGTGAAAAAAGTGCGCTTTTTTAATATTACGATCATACATATTATATATTATTTATATTAGTACCTAGATATGTATATACTTAATTATAAAAGACTATAATTCATCAAGTAATTGTTTTTAATTTCGTAGTAATATCGTATGTACAAACTGGCATATTAATGTCACTTATACGATTATTAATAACCGAAATCAATTTGTAGATTTATGTATGTTCATCTATACATTCACTTCAAAAATGTTACATTCTATGTAAAAATTTCTGTTAAAAAACATCATGTTCTTGAAACCAGTTTTTACGTCTCAGTCGATATTGTTCAACTTTTGTTAGTGAAAAATAAGCAAGTTGAGAACAATTAAAAACGTTTAATGAGATCAGCACATAACTGACCGTAGTGTAATTTTTGAATACTTCGAAATTCTAATAAACTTGTTGTTATCAGTTTAGCAAAATAAAAATTTCTTCTGTATATTTTTTAAAATTTGATGGAAATTAATAAACTTTTACATCTCATATGTAAATGTGGTTGTTGATTTTCTGGAATTTGGTTTACCGAAAAGTTTGTTTGTTTTCTTCCTTGTCAAACAGAATACTAATTTTAATTTTCAACGAATTCTGTTTATTATTTCTCAAGATATGATCAATAGCTTAAAATTGACTTGCAGTGAAGCTGTAATTTTCTGGATAAGCTGTAACTTTCTATAGTTAAAGAAATGCGAATACTTCACAACTTCTTTAATGTAAGCTCAGATATATGTACATATGTAAATATTGACTTAAAATCAGTTGAGTTGAATTAGAGGATCAAAGCAGATAGTTCGTCAGGATAATCGATCGCTAAAAATGTTTAATGTATTTATTTTTAATGTATGAATTTTAACATAAAAAGGAGGATTTCCGTTGAAATTCGACATGTAAAATTTTAGTGCAATAACAATACCTCTCCTTCGTATCCAATACAGTCTGTGAAAGGAGAATCGAATTCACAGTGATTGTTTTTCATCTCTATCTTGATAAACCAGCTAGTAAAATGGTAAACAAAGTAAATTTCTGTTTGTGGTAAACAAACTAAATTATGTATATATGTGTGCATGTGAAAAGTTTTTGATTTTTACAAAAAACTTAAATTTTGAAGGAGGAATTCGTGGGTATAAATTTAGTAGAATTTTGCACTTTTAATTGTGCAGATGACCGTTACTTGATATTAGGAATAACATTTTTTCGTGCTAAATAGTTTTCAATACAAGAAAAAAAAATGTTTAATACAAAAAAATTTTTAATAATTGGTGGTAATGCAATATACTTATACAATTAAAAAAAATAAATTTACAAAAACATTGAAAATATATTTTACTTTAGTTATATTGATGTTTGAGAAAGCTTTCGCAAGCAGAATTTCACGCCAAATTCAAACAGCACACAATTTTTCACAGTTTGGTTTAGTTATTGGAGTCGACCAAATAGTTCGGCCTAAAAATTCTAATAGTTCTACACCAACACCAACATCACTCCCTCCATTGCTTCCAACGACCGCCTCACCTAAATATCTGGCTTGTATGGAAAATTGTCGCTCTACACAAGAATATAATCCGGTTTGTGGTACAGACATGATCAATTATCATAATGAAGCAAGACTTGGTTGCGCACAACGTTGTGGCAAAGGTGAACACATATAATAATTTTTGATGTACATTTTATTAAATATTAATAATCATTTTTACAGATGTACAAAGAGTTCGTTTGGGAACGTGCTTACCTTTATAATTAACTAGGCAAGAAATGCTCATAAGCCATACATATATATGAATATGTAGTTCAGAGCAAATTGAATTCATTATTCTTTTACATTTTAAAAATTTCGTATGTTTCATTGTACGTACAAATACGTAATATTGTTTGTTTTTCTAACATGTAAATTAAAAATTTTAGTAGTTGAAGAAGTATTTATCGAAAGACTTAATATATGACAAATGAGTGATAATGAATACGAAGTGATCTCGAAATCATAAACTGAATTAAAAATCGTACCCTCCAAATATAAGAAGTGCTAAACTTATTAAACAAAAAACAAGTGACTCGATAAAATTTTAAGTATTCCATTGAAATATAAAAAAATTTACCATTGAACAATTTAGAACCGATGCTATTATCTTTTGTAATGGTTAATTCCTCCGAATTTCTGTATGTATAATATTTATTAAGTCAAGTGTTAAAGATAATTTTAGCGAGATTTTGGTTTGACAGTTCATCTTTCGGTCTTTTGGCGAATTTGTGCATTATACCGATTTCACTAAAAATTCTTATCTGAACTTACTTTCGGGCTGTGATAAATTTATCTTAAACATACTCCATGTTCTTGGAAAATGGACTTGTATTCTGATTCAATAGGTTCATTAAGTGGAAATAAAATTAAAAAAAAAAGTTGGCTACCTGATAAAAAATAAAAATCTATTTTGTAACGATAACAGACATTTTCTATTTAAAATTTTTATAAATAATATTAAAAGCATACATAAAATGATGTCATAGCATAGATTGAAAGGAACCACAATATTCGATATCACTTCACGTGCTTATTTATGTATTCAAGTAACAGCAAAAAATGTAAAAATAAATTTTTGGTGATGACTTTTGGTTTGTTTGGAGTACATGTGGAATTGGCGGATTTTTATATATTTTGGCGGGTTTTCATATATACTTACTTTGACTAAGTTTATTATTGCAAGACCAAAACTAGATTTTATAAAATACATAAGCCAAAATATTTAAGAACTTTTTCCAGCAAATAAAAAGTTTTTTTTTAACTCTAACAAAAATTTTATTTTAACGTCAGAAAATGTTTATAGCATAATCAGTATATGTATTATTACGTTATTATAATGTTGATTTCTCACTTTTAAATAAAATGTTTGTTACTCAATGTTATGATATAACATGAAAAAAGTAATCAAACTATTTTGATTATTTTTCTCATGTAAGGTATTATAAGTTGAAAATAAAATATATACTAGATACTATAAATACTGTTCTTAGTACCCAGTGTGTATTTAATTTTTATTTGAAGTTTATAAACATGAATTCAATTCATTGGTATAAAAAATAATGTTAACATTTTTCTTTTCAATTAATTATTAATTTTAAATAAAAAATAAGAAAAGATAGAGTTGGGCATGTCAACTCTGTGACTTCCGTACGAATTTGTTATCCTATGTGCGAATAAATATGTCATAGCTGACTAAGGGACAGACTATGACTTTAAGTTGCCATATTACCATATTAATTTATGCAAAATTTCATTGTGTATGTGTTTTCAATATTTTCTGAGATACGGCCAAATTACTACTTAAGTTTCAACGATTTTTATCAAACACAATTTCAACGATTTTTATCAAACACATTGGCCCTATTAGTATATTTGGTTATGTGAAATTTCAATAACACATCTTTTATAGTTTCTGAGATATAGCCAAATAACTTTTGAAGTTGTATGGCAGCTACCAGAGAGAGCCAAGCCATTTCAACGACTTTGATCAAATACACTGGCCTTATATATTTATTCGTTATATTTTTTATACCCTGCACTTCGTGAATGGTATATTAACTTTGGTATGGAGTTTGTAACTACTTGAAGGAGTCATCTGCGGTATGGACATATATATATATTCTTGCTCAGCGTAAAATTCTGAAAATCCGTCCGTCCGTCCGATCGCACGATAACTCAAAAACGAATAATGCAATCGACACCAAACTTTCACAAGTTGCTTCTTTTGTGCCAAGGACGAACCCTATTGTTACTGGACCAATTCGGACAACGGGTTCGGGTAGCTGCCATACAACTCAAAGAGTTTATTTTAATTATTTCAAAAACTAATAAAGGCACAAATATAAAATTTTGTATACATGTGTCCAATTATATTCTACACATGCTCTAAAAATTTTAATGAGATAGCTGCACCGGTTCGGGTGGCTGCCATACAACTCCAAAAGCAAATTTTTTATATTCGCCAAAATAATAAAGTCAGATTCATGAAACGTGGCAGTCGTGTGTCCAATTATAGGTCAAAGATATTTCTGAAGTTCTGGTGGAATTGCTTGACAGGTTCGAGTGGCTCCCATACAAGTCCAAAAGCTTATTTTAAATATTTGGAAAAATAATAAAGTCAGATTCATGAAACTTGGCAGTTGTGTGTCCAATTATAGGTCAAAGATATTTCTGAAGTTTTGGTGGAATTGCTTGACAGGTTCGAGTAGCTCCCATACAAGTCCTAAAGCTTACTTTAAATATTTGAAAAAATAAAAAAATTAGATTCATGAAACTTGGCAGTTGTGTGTCCAATTATAGATTAGATATACCTGCGAAGTTTTAGTGGAATTGCTTGACAGGTTCGGGTACCTGCCATACAACTCCAAAAACTAATTTTAAATATTTAAAAAAATAATAAAGTCAAATTCATGAAACTTGGCAGTCATGTGTCCAATTATAGATCAGATATATTTGCGAAGTTTTAGTGAAATTGCTTGCCAGGTTCGGGTACCTGCCATACAACTCCAAAAGCTAATTTTAAATATTTGGAAAAATAATAAAAACAGATTCATGAAACTAAGCAGTTGTGTGTCCAATTATAGGTCAAAGATATTTCTGAAGTTTTGGTGGAATTGCTTGACAGGTTCGAGTGGCCCCATACAAGTCCAAAAGCTTATTTTAAATATTTGGAAAAGTAATAAAGTTAGATTCATGAAACTTGGCAGTTGTGTGTCCAATTATAGGTCAGATATATTAGCGAAGTTTTAGTGGAATTGCTTGGCAGGTTCGGGTACCTGCCATACAACTCCAAAAGCTAATTTTAAATATTTGGAAAAATAATAAAGTCAGATTCATGAAACTTGGTAGTTGTGTGTTCAGTTACAGGTCAGACATATCCGTGAAGTTTCTATAGAATGGTTTCACAGGTTTGAGTAATTGCTATACAACAATGAAAGGTGCAGGGTATAATTCAATCGGTTCATACCGACTGAAACGTTTTTACTTGTTTTTTTTTTCCTTCTTCACTCCTTGGAGGAGTATAGGGCTAGTGCATGATATCTATCATGCCCTAGTTTCTATAGTCATAGAGAATTAGCTTGGTAGGTGACTAGCCTACCGTAGTTTTTTTTTTTTTATTTATATTATGAATATTTGAAAATTACTTGTATAATATTTATTAGTATTGCATATTAAGTTATATAATATTGAGTATAATTTTTATAGTGACCTGACCGGGGTTTGAACCCGAGACCCTTCGGTTAAAGGGCCGGTGCTATAACCACTGCACCAATGGTCAGATATTTATTTGTTATATATTTCCTATATATTTATATTAATATATTTATTCGTGCGAAATTTCAATGCTAAAACTTTTATAGTTTCTAAGATGTAGTCAAATTAATTTTGAAGTTGTATGGCAGTTACCCGAACCAGTACCCCGATCATATCCAATTTAAACAGGGTTTTGGCTATTACTATAATAAATCATTTCTGAAACTTAGCTCCATTAGTTTTTGAGTTATCGTTGGGACGGACGGACGGGCGTGCAGACAAAGCTAAATCGACTCAGAATTCGATGCTTATCAAAAACATACACTTGAGTTTTTATCCCTTCGGATATAAAAACTTACTTTAGGTTTTTATAGAATTGATGAAAACAGGGATCAATAAAGCATAACAAGCTTTGAAGATCGGACTTTTTATTTGCAGAAATTTTTGCCATTTTTAGGATTTTGGAAATTGAATCTTAATATGTATACTCTGTTGCGTCCGCGTTTTAAAATATTTGATATTTTGAATGGTTCTTTTTGTAGTGAATTTTTATAAAATATTTTTTGAAATTCGTCTCTACAATATCGCAATAAACAGATAGGATTAAATTATACCAATCGCGGGGATATAATATTTTAATATCACTTCTTTTCTTTTTTTTGTTCTATGATAGGGTGATCAGTATCATTCGTAGATTCGTAGATTCTAAGGGAACCGAGTGGGACAGGAGCATCCCCCCAAGCCACCGCAGCCATTTTTGACTTATTGTAGCTACCCCACTCTCCCGTCTATAATATCCCCGTCCCAATCACAAAGCCGGAGATATCCCTAAGGGAGTTGGACAATAGTTCCCGAACACTTAGGGACCCATGTCCAAGACAATTGCGGCGCCGAACAGCCAGTGCCGGACAGTCGCAGAGAATGTGCACGGCGGTCTCATCGCCACCCCCACAAAATCTGCACAGGGGGGAGCCCGACTTCCCCAGCCTATGCAGGTGGTATTTTACCGGGCAGTGCCCCGTGAAGAAATTCGCAATAGTGCGAACCCGGCTCCTGCTCATCCCCAGCAACTCCGCGGCGAATCCGCCACAGCACGCCGAAAGAAACACTTTCGCATGACGGCTCCCTTTCGTGTCCCGCCAGTGACGGCCGCATTCCGCCGCGAGCATGCAGGCAAGCCTGGCCCCCACGACCGAAGAAGGCAGACCGCAGAAAGGCAGCGGCTACACAAAGGCAGCCCCAGATCCCCTCCGCGCCAGCTCATCGGCAACTTCGTTGCCCGCATGGCCACTATGGCCGGGCGCCCAAATGAGCATCACTCTGTTCTTCGATGCCAATTCCATAAGTGCAGCAAGGCAGCTCCAGACCAGCTTGGATGTAATCTGAGCTGAACGGAGCGCCAGCAGTGCAGCCCTGCTGTCTGAGAACACATAGATGGTGCGGTTTCTATACCCCCCTTCCAAATTGATTCTCAGACAGATCTCTATTCAGATGTATTTCGGCCTGGAACACTGTGCAATACGGGTCAAGGGCTACATATACACGCGTGTCCGGGCGGACACCGTACACGCCCGAACCCACACCCGACTCCGTTTTGCACCCGTCCGCATACCACACGCTCGAACCCGACCTAAGTACCGGACCATCCTGATCCCACGTCCATCGATCGGGAAACAGAACCCTGTACCTGTGGTCGAAGTTGTACCGCGGCAGGCAGGTATCCGACATGGTTATTCTTAGAATCGGATCGCCCTCAATGAAGTCTCTGTGAGTTCTGTGGGCCAACTTTAGCCCTGCCCCGTCCTCGCCAGAGAGAAGTCGGTAAGTCACCAGCCGAGCTTCCTTCAATATATGGAGGTGCAGTGGCGGCAATCCGATCATCACCTCCAATGCAGCGGTGGGAGCCGTCCGCATCGCCCCGGTCACTCCCAGGCAGGCCAGCCTCTGTAGCTTTTCCAGCTTGGCCCGCACACCCGCCTGCTGAGCTTTACGGCACCATACAATCGACGCATAGGTGACGATGGGCCTAGCAAGGGCCGTATATAGCCACAGTGCTATTCTGGGACTTATTCCCCAGGTCCCCCCGATGAAGCTCCTACACGTCCACAAGGCCGCCGTAGCTCTCCCGATAACTCTATCGATATGGGTATTCCAAGAGAGACGATCATCCAGGGTTACCCCCAGATACTTCACCTCCCTCGAGTAACTAATACGTTCACCAAACAGAATTGGGCTCGTTAATCTGTCCCTGCTTCTGCGTCTGGTGAAGGCGACCAGAGTGCTCTTGCTTGGATTTATATTTAACTCAACGCCTTTGCACCACCTTTCCACAACACGTAAATTTTGCTGTAGAAGATCAGAAATAGTGCTCTCAAAT